TGACAGAAAAAAAAAAGGTGTGAAACAAACGTCGTTATTTGAAATACAAGGTAAAGAATTGGGCACCCACACCGGTAGGCCTGAGTGAGGACTTCTCAGTTGTTTTTGTTGTTCAGGAGGCTAAAAAACAAAAACAAAAACAAAAACAAAAACAAAAACAAAAACGAAAAAAGAAAAAAAAAGACATACATATAAATATGAATGCCCGTGCCTTTGTACATTTGCGGAAAATATGAAATGGGCTAAAACGCAACAGGTTGGGGAAAAAAAAGAAAAAAAAAGCAAAACCATGCATATACGCCTTGCTGAGACCTTATTTCCCCATTCTCAAAAAAGAGAATGGTACAACAACGGAATGTGACAATTTGTTTCACTGCACCCGACATGCCTCACACCTCAGATAAGATTGATCCAACACCTCCACACCAGTTAAAACTCAAAAGCTCATAAGGCATAAGCTACAGGGACCGGACTCTTCCCTCCGCGTGGGGGGCAGTGGAGGATGAGCGAGACAAACAACAACAACAACAACAACAACAACAACAACAACAACAAAAAAGCCACATTCGCTACCTTCCAACTCGACATCCTAAAAAAAAAAGAAAAATCAGGCAATAAAGAAAACAGGGAAGTTCAACAAGATGTGCCATCGGTGAATTGGCCCCATTGGGTTGAAAATTCCTCCTAAGAGCTTCTAAAATACACACTGAGATAGAGGGAGTGTCGAAGAAACAAACTCCTTCCGGAGATGAGCAAAAGAAAAAAAAAAAAAGAAAAAAAGAAGAAAAGTGAGAGACAACATAAAAGGCGGGTATATATGTGTGTATTATACATATGTATGTATCCCCTCCCTGGGTCTCTTCTACTTCCATTCATCTTTCTTTTATCTCTCCTCCAATTGCAAAGCGGTTTTTTTTTTTCTTTTTTTGCTGTTATAATTTTTATTTTTTTTATGTTTTGCTTTTTGTTTGAATTTACTGTTAAAAATGCGCCACCCATTTACTCAACTCCTCTCGCGTCACTCACAGTTACTCCCAATCCTTTATCTTCACACACACAGAGAGAGAATTACTCCCTCTCATCATCTCCATCCTCCTCGTCCTCGGACAGCTCTGAGATATCTAGTGTAAGTGCGCCTTTCAGATTGGTGTCCACACCCTCATCTGTCTCAAAACCACCGCGTTCACGCAGGACACCCAAATATCCAAATCCGTAGCCGCAGCGGGGCTCATTCATGACATCCACAATTTCTTCGTTTACCATCATCTGTGCCTCCTCCAACGGATCTATGGGCAGCTCAGATGCCGTAAGCTTCTTCATCTCGTGTGTGCGACGCGCACTTGACTGTGCTTCCTTTAACAATCTTATTCTTTCGCGTATTCGTGATCTCCGCGAAAGATGGCCTCGTCGCCTTATAGAATGAGTTACGCCGTTGCCAGTGTCGTCATCCATAAAATTTTGAGATTCTGTTCCTCCTCCTATCCCCTTTCGACGCTTGCTAGGAAAAAAGATAGGACGCCTTCGCAACTCCATCGATTTTTTGGTTTGCTGCGTCTTGAGATTTTGCGTTTCCGAACCTTTCTGTATCTTATTATTCACACCTGTTGCACCTCTTTCACCTAATGAGCCTTGAATGGAATGTAATGAACCTTTTATAGCGTAGTCCGCGGTGCACAACAAGGCGGCGTTCGTACCGCTCATGAAGTCTATGGCTTCCTCCCAGCCTGTGATGCCGCACCACGTGTCCGCGGTGTTGCTAAGGGTGGGTGCTGCTGGTGCTGACGCTGGAGTCAAAGAGCCACTCGCAGATGATTCACTTCTCGTCACAGCGCCTGGACGGATGCGACTAATTGCATTGCTATTTCGTTGAGGCAGACGATTTGTCGGATTCACTAAGCGTATGTATGAAACAGTTCTATTTGTTGAATGAGACTCCGCATTTTGTTGATTCTGTTGCGTTTGTATTGACTTTGTTGATAAAGATGCGAGCTGCGGCTGTTGCTTTTGTTGCTGAAGCTGTAAGGATTTTGATGGCGACGAGAGCGATAGTGTCAAGTTACCTAAAAAGTCACGCTGTAGCGCAGAACCTTGTTTATCTTGTAATGGTTCACATGGAGACGGAGGCTTGACCGTGGATATACCTTCCAACTTTGGTGAATTCCGCTCAATTGGTGGTGGCGGTGGTGACTGCAGGTTAGACTTCAATGTGCCTTCTGGTTGCCGAAATGGATTGCGTCTCTTCTCATTCCCTGCTTCCCCCACGACTGGCAGATAATTTCCGACTGATTTCAGAGTAGTAGTGGTTGCCCCGCTCGTTGTTCTGCTAACACTCGTCAAAACTGGGGTTGCGATACCGGCAGCTGTTTGCCAAATAGGTGGAGCGTATGCTGGGACAGCAAAAAGGGCCATATCACCGGGTGCTGCATTGATAGCCTCCTCCTCATCATTGCATACCATAAGTCGCGAAGTTTTGCAGGTCCCAGTTAATGATATGGAGTCCAGGGATTGAATGGGTGGTAGATCAAAAAGGTGTGTCAAGATACCAGAGACATGAAAGACCACCTGCACCCAGCGATTTCGAGGGATAATCAACGGCATTTTAGAAACAACAACCCCGGTGCTTAGATCTGCTACAGTCGCCTTGCTAAATTGTGTCCCAATGGTGAGGTCCACGCGAAGAGAAGTACGGGTATGCATCGTCACCTCCAAAGAAAAGGAGTCAAAGGAGCTCAGGTACGTTTGTAGAATTATTAGTAACTGAGGAAACTTTTTCAACAAAAATTTGTAGTCCTCACAGGGTATTTCTACGCGCGCATGCGAAAGACCACTCCTCAGAACTAACACAGGTGCGCGCAGTGTGCGGTCATATTGTATGGCGCAGGATGACTCATTCTGTACTATGGCTGTCTTCAGGCATCCAGAATTACGTGGAACTAAAACTTCTTGGAGAATCGTCTGTTCAGTCATTCTGTGGTCGACGAGAACGTGCATAGGACACCGCCAAAAGCTTTTTACTGCTGCAGCGACGTCAACACGCAACAATAAAAAGAAAATCCCTATTTAAATTTGCCAATGAGACTGCTTCCAAATCCAAAGTGAGCAGGAACCCACACTACCTATATATATATATATATACATATATATAGGTAGAAAGACAACAAGTGCTCTTCCTTTTTTGATGGGAAGGCAGAGACGGGCACTTTGAACAATAATAAATTGAAACGAAAAAAAGAAGAAAATAGCAAAAACAAAAACAAAACAACAAAAACAATATAAAAAAAGGGGCGTGTTATGTGAAGGCCACAATGCAAACAACAAATCCAAAGTGAATAATAATAAAAAAAGAAAAGAAAAGAAAAATACCCCAAAGAATAGCAAATCAACTGAAAAACAAAGTGCATTTTCACCACTCTCTTTTTATCCACCCATATCCCATGGATTCTGTTGGTTATTTGGTAATGCTTCACGCTTCATCATAATCATCCGCTGCTGATGGAAATTTGGGGGTTCCAATATTAAAAGGCTACATACGCCTTCCTTGTCTACGCACAACACCCCACCACGGTTTCCAAATTCATTACAATAGTTTGTGGCTGAAAATATTGTGAGTAGATGACGCTTGGTGTTGCTAGGAAAAAATTGGAAGCCTTCCTCCACCACTTGGTGTGCCCGGCAAACCATATCCAAATCGTTTTCTTTAAGAAACTTCTCAAGTGCTTTGGCGGAAAACACAAAAGATATTCGGCGGGTGCTTGGTGCCCAATCAACGTTTGGCGAAAGTTCGGCCTCTGGGTCTGCCCACAGCAAATCGCAAATGATCCCACTATGTGGGACATTACATGGACGCATGTCTGGCACTTCATTCACACGCTTTAGCTCTGGAGACAGGCCCCCATGCATACAAAAAATAGTGCCATTAACGACAGCAGCAACTGGCAAAACACGAAATAGATCTGTAAATATGCGAAATAGTTTTACCCCATACCGTCTTTTACATTCGTCAAAAAATCCGTACAGAAGCATTATTTGCTCATCTTCGTGATTTCCACGCAGTAAAGTTATTTTCGACGGCTCTATAATCTTCAGTGCCAGCAATGTAATCACAACTTCGATTGAACGACTACCACGGTCAACATAGTCACCCAAAAAAAGATATTTATCGTATGGGGCATCGGATGCTTTAAACTCATCTTGATGCGAAACTGAAGAGTCTTCGCTATAAATTCGACTTCTTTTATGTCGTTGAACCGGTAAAGCGTGATTACTCAACCCCAAAACCCCTCCTCCTAAAGGCGGTCTTCGGCTAAAAATATTCAAAAGATCATAGTACTGCCCATGTAAATCACCACATACGCAAACGGGAGATTCAACATACACGACAATTGGATCACTTGCAATAATAGGATAAGCCTCACGGAGAACACGAACAATAAGAGCTTCAGGAAGTCGTTGCTCATGAGGACTTGTAGACATATACTTCTCGGGTAGGAGTTCGAGTAAACGGTAGAGCACATCATGCTTTTCATTTAACGAGAGAGTTTCTGTAGGCAGTGTGCTTAATGAGCACCGTGTAAGGTCAGGTTTTTGATCCAGCTCATTTTTTTGTCGACTTCTTCTCATTTTCTGTTATTCCGTCGCCGTTGACGCCAATCCTACTTTGAGTAAACACGCTTTTTAAAATTGTTCTGTGTGTGTGTGCGTAGCCTCCAAAAAGCAAGTGGTGACAGAGTAGGAGTCCGCTAAATTTAATATAGCAACAGAATGAAAAGATCACCCAACAAAAAAAGAACCAAAAAAAAAAAAAAAAAAATAAAAAAAAAAAAAATAAAAATAAATAAATAAATAAAAAAATAAATAAATATAATAATAATAATATGGAGAGAAAAAAAAAATAGAAATAAAAATTAAAATGCGGGAATTACCTTTCTTTACGTCTTTTTTGCAGTGTGCCCACTGGATATATATTATGATGATGTTTCATAGTCATCCCCTTTTGAAAATCAGCTCTCATCATCTCCACCAGAAACAAAAGCATAAATAAGATTTGGCGGTTCCTCATCTAAATCATTTCTTATGGATTCTGTTGGTATTAACCTTGCCTTGTCACTTCGCAAACTTCCTTTTGCAAATTCTTCATCGTCTCGATGATGATAAGAAGAGTCCCGATCTCGCTTTAAAGTTGACACTTTTTCATCACAACTATCTGCTTCAAAATTCAAACTGCCTTCCATCAATGCTTGAATCTGTTTCCGAGTTTTAGCCGACCTAACATGAACTCCGCCCGATAAGAGCTGTAAAATACCCGTAAAACGCACACCTACAACCCTTTCTTTAATCTCCATCTTTTCATCTTCCTTGTTCTTTCGTTCCACCAAGTAGAAGCGAACGCGTTGATTGCTCTGTAGGGGCAGTCTCACGCGTGAATGGATCCCTCTTCCCATTGCCGCATCGCAGCAAACAACAGCAAATGGATGACTACTGGAACGGCCCTGACTGTCAAGCATTTGCATAAATAAGTAGCTCTGGGAACCACCATTTAAGGAGGGAGATCGGGAAGATTTACGCGCACCACCCCTTAATTTTTTTGCTTCAAAAAGAAATTCCACATTAGTAATTTCTAATGCTGCAACCCCTGGACCAGAGGGCACACAAAATTCCAAACGATGCTGCAACTCCTTGTCGACTACAGTAGCTGTAAATGAAAGAGGGATACCCAACACTGATTTCTGCTCAAATACAGAGGGATGGAGTGTAATTTTAAACGGAACACCCTTTTCTAAAACCATGAACCTAAATATGAGAAAAATCCCAACAAAAATACCTACATATTTATTTATTGTATAAATTTCAAGGCCACAGTAAAAAAAAAAAAAAAAAAAAGGCAGGGCAGAAAATATGCCCTTCATGTATAAAATGCGGTGTAATTCATTTCCCCATAAAAATAAATTAAAAGAAAAAAATAACAAAATAAAACAAACAAACAACTAAATAAAGTTGACACAAAAATTGAAAAACAAAGAAAAAAAAATAACATAAAAAATATTTATACGATAGAAGCACAATAAATAAATTAAACCAAATAGGAAAAAAAGTGAAATAATCAAGAATTCGCAACGATATTGTTTTAAACTGTTTAATATCCCATTTTAATATATAACTTTTTAATTTTTGTCAGACCTGTAAAAAACAAAAACAAAAACTAATAAAGGACCAAAAAACAAAAGTTATTCTCTATTTCGAGCAATATATATATATAACAATAATAATAAAAGCTGGAAAACTCAGGCGATATTGCTTCCTCTTTTTATTAGGAATAATAAAAAAAAAATACACATATCATACATAAATATTTATGTGCGATAATTTTCTATTTTACTTTTTTCAGGGCCCAGAAGAACCCTGACGCCAACGCAAGACAGTCTTTGTTGGTCGTAGATAGGTGAAGGGATCTTCTGATAATTGACTATCCTTAATGTGATCTGGCAATTTATCTGACGCTTCTCGCGGAAGAGCCGAGTTTATTAATTTTCGGAGAAGCGGAGGGGAAAAGCATAAAGATGAATTTATTTCAGAGCTGGTTTTGGGGTTTTCTAAAGATTCATTCTTTTCCCCTCCAAAAAAACTTACATTCATGAGGCGACCAAGAGAATCAAAAATTTGCTCATCCGAAAGATTTGAAACAAATTCCACGGGGTTCAATCCTCTTGGAGTCTTTTCTTTATTGCTCATATTTTTCGTCGTTTTCTCATCATTCTTTCCCTCAAAAACTAAGCCGTTATCTGGCCCTTGTTTGTACATTCTCGATAAGGTATAAACAGCAGAGGGAAGTGGTGGTGGCAAATCGTATGAGTCAGATTGTGAGTCTCCAATTCCCAAATTTTCTTGATAAAAGACTTTGTTTTGTTCATCATGAGTTGAATGATGCATAATCTTTTTTTTGCTTTTTCGATTTTCCGTTTTTTTTTCAAGCCATTGTGTATTTGACTTTTCTATTGTCGGATGAAGGCCCTCAGTTTGATTTGATCGACCAACTTGTAATTCATCGGGATTCCAATTGATTTTCTTATAATTATCTCCAATAAATGGCTTACGATGAATGCGCATTTCCCCCTTGGTGAACGGTCTTTCACCTTCATTCAGTGATACTCTTTTCCATTTTTGCGTCCGCAAATGGTAGATATATAAACCATTATCTTGAACCGGGCCATTGGAAGATCTAATTACACCACCCACCAATATTACCCAATCACTCATATACGAAACGAGAGCATGCCCAATTCTACCTGCAGGAATATCACCCTTACCTGGGAGAATTTTCCATTGCCCTTTTTCTAAATCAAACTCCCTTAATTCCAAAACGCTTTCCTGCGTCGAAAATTGAACGCCTCCAAAAACAAGCATATGTGTCGGTTCCTGATTTTTTTTACTATGCATTCCAACCACCACAGCTTTATGCATCGCTGATGCAACAGGAGAATTGCAATTAGCCCATTGCCATGACTGCGTATAAATGTTCCATAATGCCAATTCTCCAACCTCTTTGCCTTTTGAGACATCCAAGCCACCAAAAAGCAGGATATTATCCCGAAAAAATATACCTGAATGACCCCACAACAAAGGTCTAACAGAGGCTGTTGATGTAACACGACGCCAAATCATTGATTCCAAACTAAGAACAAAAGTATCAAAGAGTACGTTACCCATACTTAGTAGCTGATGGGCTGAAAACTCTTTGGATGAACCATCATTATCCAATAAAATTGGATATCCTCCATGAATATATAAATCTTTATTTAAAACGACACTTGCATGGTGAATGCGACTAATTGGTTGATCACCTTTTGCAATTACATTGGACCATCGCCCAAGCTCTAAATCAAGAATATTGACAAAACGCATGCAATTCATCTGTTCATTAGGTTCTTCAATCATACCCCCAACAACAACCATATACCTTTCCCTGTATATGCAAGCCGTGTGATATGCACGACCAAGGGGCAAGGGTGTCGCGGGCATCAACTGAAGTTGATGCAAATTGTCATCACGGTTAATAAGCAAAGAAACATCATTCACCAATCGCACTTTGTTAGAATAACGCGGCTGTTGATTAGAATAAATATTGTGCTTTCCACCAAATATAACCAAAGATGAACCAAAGACACATGCCGTGTGTCCCTCCATCACTTAATGAAACCTGTGACCCAAGTTGCAATGCAGATTGTAAAAAAGGTAAAGTAGCTTTACCAAGATATAAATAAATATGAAAAAAAAAAAAAAAAAAGAAAAAAAAAAAAGAAAAAGAAATAATAATAGTAGTAATAATAATACTAATACTAATACTAATACTGATAATAATAATAATGGTAGTCAAAAGAGAAAAATATAACAAAAAATCCCGTCAATAGGTAATAGTAATAATAATAGTGAGAATAACAAAAAAACAACAACAAAAAACATAATCAAACAGTAAAACATAATAATATAAATAAATGATAACCATAAACATAATAATTATAATCAACGAGAAAAAAATGTTATACGTAAGACAAAGATTTATGGAGAAATATGCTCGTTATTTCCCTGTTTTATTTTGGCTTTGCTGTGGCAACGCGCGCGGATGGTGAGAATGCGGGCGTAAGCGCGATGACAAACCACAGAGAAGCTACCCGGGCGCTCTTTCCCCGCATTTTCCCGAACAGACGCGTTGGGCCGCGCCGCGGCAACACACGGCCCCGGACCGCGCGGCGTAAAAGCCTCGCCCCGCATCGGCGGGGACGGGCGCAGGCGGGCCGAGCCAAGCGCGCGGGAGAGGAGGGCGGGAGGCCCGAGAAACGATGTCTCCCGCGCCGTTGCTGACGCGTTTGGTTGCCCGCTGTCGGTCGGAAAGCGAAAGGAAAGATGAGGCGGCATTTGGGGCGCGAGGGCGCCCGATGAGTTTAGCTTGCTGAGTGCTCGCGCGTTGTTTTTTTCTTATTTTTTTCAAAATCCTCAATTAAACTATTTATAAGCAAAACTGGGGGGTACATTTTAATTTGACGGTTTTTGACAGTTGTTATATATATTTGTTTTTATGAATTGATCGTGTTCTTTTCAGTTTCTCTCGTCTGCGCTGCCGGAAAACTGATAGGAGTGATATGAAAAAAGATGCAATTGAATTATCGCGCCAGTGACAGAGACTACAAGTTAAATAATAAAAACAATAATCCTTTTTATATATTTTTTTGAGGCAATACCTTTGATTTAACAGTTTATATCCATTTTTTTTAAATATACGGTG